GGGAGGTAGAAATCACTAAGCTAAAAACTTGGATGATTAGTTTTGTGGTGTGAAATTGGGTAACTTGAGTAGAGTATTATATTGATATTGTAAATTGATTGTATAAGGGGACTGGAGAAGGAAATATTATTTTGTATGACTTTATGTACAATCGTGAGTGTTGAAATATTGTGTTAAAGTTACAGAGCCGCGGTGGCTCAGTTAGTAAGATGTTGGCTCGCTAACCTGTAGGTCCCATGTTCGATCCTGGTGTTGATGGAGAAAGTTCATCTGGAATTTCCGGTGTGGTTCCCCCTTGTCTTTGGTGCAGGACAGAAACCCTAGCAAGGGACAATGTATAGTCATTCGGATGGGACAAAAAACTGAAGTCCTGTGTACAAATTAGCATGCACATAAATGAACCCTTGTCAATTGGAATTTAATGTATGAGTAGGCCATAGTGCCACTGTCCAAGCAAAATTTCTCTCATAGCACACTGTATAGCGTATGCCTGTCTTCATTAGCCCAGTCGGGGCAGAACAGTTGGATGTTGAACCCCATTTCATTTCATTATATATAACCTTTGGACTCCAATCTCGGCATTAAGTACTTTTGTTTTATGAAGAAAACAAAAGAGTATTATAGACTTTAAAATATTATGCTTACTTTGCATACAGAACCTGCCAAGAGTTTCACGATTTCGTTCTAATTTATTTTATATACATTGAAAGGTCAGCAAAAAAATGTCATGAAGTTCTCTTTAAAGCTAGATTATTGTTTAAATCATTGTTATAAGTTGAACTTTTGGGATTTGACAAAGATCTAAAGTACACAAAAAAACCACAGAAGCAAATGATCTGAAATTTTTTAATTAAAGAAAAAGTTAATAATGGAGGGATTTCAACCATTTAATGTCTTTACGTTACTTCCTAAACAAGCCTTGAGTTTATCTCTTCTACTCCAAGCCTCTTGTAGAAATATCAAGTAATAAAGTATGACATTAATAACAGGAGCCACAGTGTCTCGGTGCGTAAGGCATTAGTTCACTAATGAGTACAAGGGGGGTTGGGTGGTTTAAAGCGTGCGTGTGAAACCATAAGGTCTGTCATTGAGTAAAGTGGCATGGTTTTGATTCCCCTTCTTCGGGTCCTCTGGCAAATTATTGAAATAAAATTGAACAATATGTTAGTCCCAAAATGAGTGGATGTTATTTAAACCCCATTTCTCCATCCTGGTGCTTGTCGAGAAACAATTTTTTTCAGTGCGTTATCTTCTTGTTGATGGTGCACCATCTAGTTCTTCGGTTAAAACAAAATAACGTGATACCATGTAGACACTGATGTGTTCTTTGACATTTTGAATTTGTCTGGTCAAGATTTCCCTCACAGCATACTGCTTGGCGTTTGCCAGTCTTCATTAGCCTGGTTGTAGCAGGATAGCAGGACGTTAAACCTCGTTTCATTTCATTTAAATTAATGGACTTTATTTTTATTATATTTTCAGGTTCTGAGTGGGTTAGTTAAATAATTCTTCCCTTGAAGGGGAAGATCCACACTATAGAAATGGCTAAAGAGGTAAGTCTTTACAACATGCAATGAATGGCTGTAAGGCTTCAGTCTTTAACACACAATATTGAATTATTTCTCAATACTGTACCCAGATTTTCGCCCACTTTCTCTCCATATTAAAAAGATCATATATGTTGTTAATTACCTGTTCCTCGACAGTAAATAAAAGCAACACTTACCGGTTTTTATACGCCCACATTGAAATGTGGTCGTATATTGTCGTCGCCCCCGTCCGTCCGTCCGTCCGTCCGGAGTCCACAATTGCTTGTGGACGCTCTAGGGGCCAAAGTTAATATCCGATTGACTTTAAAATTATATACAGTGTTTAAGGCCAGGAGACGAAGAAGCCTATTGATTTTCAGCGATTTCCGATAATTACTGCCAGAGTTATGGTCCTTGATCACTTCAAAAAATCTTGTGGACGCTCTGGAGGCCAAAGTTAATATCCGATTGACTTTAAATTTATACACAGTGTTTAAGGCCAGGAGGCGAAGAAGCCTATTGATTTTCAGCGATTTCCGATAATTACTGCCAGAGTTATGGCCCTTGATCACTTAAAAAAATCTTGTGGATGCTCTAGAGGAGAAAGTTAATATCCGATTGACTTTAAATTTATACACAGTGTTTAAGACCTTGAGACGAACAAGTATATTGATTTGAATTTTTATGACTTGGAACAGCTAAATCCATGATACAGTATTATAAGTTTGTATACAAAATGTTAGCATGGGGCAGAACTTTATAAAAACCAAACAAATTCTAATGGTTTTCTGTATTAGATTTTAGTGTATTATAAATGTTTCATTAGTAAAGTAAAAAGTAAAAATATGCGACAACTCTTGTTGACTGCCCGGGTGATTTAGCTGCTGTGGGCGTATGTTTCGTTGCCTGGCAACCTATCTTTATATATATATATACTTAAAAAATATGTAATAACATTCCCTAATATATGTAACTTAAAAAGCCATTATCACTTTCAACAGGAAATTAAATGTTATTAATTTTATTTAATATCAGATTCAAAATAATTTAACTATCAAAAATTTAAGCACAGGTCTACGAAGTATTCGAGTAAATTATTTTGTATGGTTGACTGCTGAAATACTTGAAAACCCACTGTAGAGTATAGATTTGTACTGTATGACTTAGTACATTTCTATATAATTTCATTTGAAAACACTTGTAACTGTATATTCAAATTAAACATATATTTTTTTTTAGCTTTCGTTAAAGGGCCAAAATACCCAGCCTGGCAATAAGCCACAAGGCATTGTCAGACACAAATTCTAGCTCATAAGGCCCGTCATTGAGTCAACTGGCATGGTTTCGAATCCCTGGTTGTACGTGACAAGGAGTAGGGTTGCATGTCCAACCTCGTGGGTTTTCTTCGGGTCCTCCGGTTTCCTCCCACTGCTAAAGACCCCCACACGCAAGTGAATTATTGAAATAAAATTAAACCATATGTTAGTCCCGAAATGACCCCTCTCTCTCTCTCTCTCTCTCTCTCTCTCTCTCTCTCTCTCTCTCTCTCTCTCTCTCTCTCTCTCTCTGCAGTAGTTAAAATGGTAATGTTTCAAAACAAAATATGTGCCTGTTAAATAATATGTTTGGGCAAATTCCCTTTTAAGGTAAAAAAAAATTCAAACAAACGAACGATTTTTCAGACTGAAAAAAAGTAGTGTTCCCAATAATGCAACTCATCAGGACTCTGATTGGCTTTACTAGACATTAAAACATGATCATGGGCAACAACCCAAGAAATACTTACTGGAAGTCATTACAATTGTATGGACTTCTGCCCTATCACTTACATCCACAATACATATAACTTGCAAGTCAGATAATTTATAAGTTTAGTCTCTAGATTGCCCACACGGTTGTTCAAAGTGAACAAAGTGACAACAACTATGAGAGTATTGCGAGTAATTATCGGAAATAGATTAAGAAACCCTAGCTTCTTCACCTCATTAATGTAAACAGTGTTTATCAATTTATAGTCTAGAGAATAACTTTAGCAGGAGCGTCTTTTTTCAGATTGGGGAAGTTAAACTGTCAAGACGTTTCCATACCCTAGGGCAAAATGCGTTCAAGCATAAGGTTTTGAAAATTTTTAGATTCAATTTGTGATCTGAAAATTCTGAATTTCGATAGTCTCCTCTTTAGACCTAAAGTTAACTGAAAAGTTAACTCATGCGCGTTGGATCACAAGGTTGGTCATTTTGAGTGAAATGGTGTGGTTTCAATTCCCTGCTTGTACGTGACAAGCAGGGGGGGGGTCTCCGATTTCTTCAACTGCTAAAGGCCTCTATGCGCAAGCGAATTATTGAAATAAAATTGAAGAATGTATTAGTACCAAAATGACCTTGTTTATGAATGGACGTTAAACCAATTATTTTTCTCTCTGCGCTAATTTTTCGACTGGGCTAGTGAAGACAGGCATACACTTGTACAGTGTGCTATGAGGGAAATTTTGCTCAGACAGTGACGCTACAGCCTATTCTTATATCGAATTCCAACTGCCAATGGATCTTTTACATGCACGCCAATGTGTACACAGGACCTCAGATTTTTCGTCTCATCCTAATGAAATGAAATGGGGTTTGACGTCTTACTTTTCTGCACTAACCAGGCTAATAAAGATGAGCATACGGCATGTCATGTGCCATGAAGGAAGTTTTTCAATGACAGTGGCACTATAGCCCACTCTTATTTCAAATCAAACTGTCATGGTTTTTTTTTTAACTGAACGTCAACATGAACATGGGACCACAGTTTTTCATACAATCCGAATGACTACACTCTCCATCATTTAACATACAGAACTAAGATAGTGAATATTTCTTACATTTATAATTTATTTAATGATATAATAATATAATAAGGAACCTTTTAGATAATTCTACCATTTTATGTTCAAGGAAGTAACCCTGAAAAAAAGACTGTACTTCCTTAAATTACTACATTTACACGATTAAAATTTTATATTTAGAAAAAAAAAAATATCGAAATAATTGGAGATATGTGAAACCCGATTTTTGATAAACAATTTAAAGTTAGATTTGGCTGTAGAAGTTTGCCTTTAAGATACATTATATGTAAATGGTGACCTTTGTGACCTTCCCTAGAAAATTTATTTATTTTGATCTTTCAAAAATGCAAATATACGATAAACAATATAGATAATGCCCTTCAGACGGAGAGGCAGACCAGAAGTGAATCAAAGTATCAGTTATGAGAAAAATCACTGGACCGAAAAAGTCTATGTTAAATTTAGTGTTTGATTTTGAAAGAGTCACATGTGCACATTTCCTCTGTGTGTCACTGTACTCAGCCTATTGAATAGACTATATCCTATATATGGTGGTACATCATTCGATACACATGTACAAGCTTATAGTAATTGACACAACTTGTTCATAAGCCACATTTCATCGTGGGTGGAAAATTATAGGATTTTTTTTAGGTCTACCTGTCTCTTGTATACATATATGACCTCAATTTCACTGGAAGTTTATAACTCACCCTGTGTTGAGATGGCATAAAATGGTTATAGTAGTAAGTTATTTAATGTATTTGATAATTTGTGATCATGGAGTATATGTTAAACCTACTATATCTGGTATACAGGTTATTAATATACTATCTGTCTACAAGTGAGACTATTAATATAACATTAAGAAATAGTATTATAGTTGACAGAGGGGCTAAATTGGTTTTGATATTTGAGATAGATATATTTATATATTTAAGTTGTTACAATATACCCTAAATATGATTTTATTTAAGCTGCACCTATATATTAGAGGAATGCAGTTTGATAATATTGAATTTGCTTGCCCCATCCTCATGAAACTTTAATAATATTTCATATATATTTACTAATGTAATGGTATATAAATGGAAGCTAAATTGATTTTCTTACTTAGGATGTATATATTCAAGTATTAAGTGTTACAATATACAGTAATTGAAGCAAATCCTAAATATTTGAGTGAAGTGCATTAATAATATTTAATATGCTTGCCCCATTTTTATGAAAATTGAATACTATTTGATATATTTATTGTTCTATTGGTATGTAAATTGGAGAAAAATTTCTATCATTCATACAGAGTGTGTTATATGAGTGTAATTCAGATTTATAAAAAAAATTAGTCAACATTATAAGAAAAATACAGAAGATTTTGAGGGTATTAGGGTGCAACCATTGTTAAGAAAATACATTCAGAACCTTAAATAAACATTGCATCATTGAATAAATATTTCTTTATGATATTCAATGCACAATGTAACTCTTTAACAATTGGTATTGCCTACACCAGATGAAAATTATATTCTTTTTTTTACATTAAGTTTTGTGGTTCATTATTGAAACTGCCCTGAATCAATTGCTCCTGACACTGCCTCTAACTGACCATGTCATATTACTTGGGTGGTTCGAGACATGAGAGAGAGAGAGCTGTTGTGTTGGGCGTCCATGTGCTAATGCAAAAGCCCCAAAACACATGGTGTTATGTGCTATTTCTTTATGGTGTTCAGTGCACAATTTATAATAATAATAATCGTTTTCTATAGCGCTGAACATTCAGTCAGTCTGACTGCTCTGTGGCGCTTTACAATGTAGATATGATTATAAAAAAAACAAAACAAGCATACATGTATATACAAATAAACAAAAGAATACAAAGGAATAGTTACAATATACAAATGGAAAGTGAAGCATTTAAATTATTGTTTAAAAGTTTGGGTAAAAAACAGGGTTTTTAAACGTCGTTTTGAAATTCCCGTCTTCATTAGCCCAGTATAGGAGCAGTAAAGTAGGACGTTAAACCCCATTTCATTTCATTTCACAATTTGAAATTATATACAATTCTAATAGGGGACCACAGTGATTAATGAATACAATGTTTATTTTTAATGCTTTTGTCACCACGGTCTATCAAGACCCTATAATTACCTTTCTATGGTTGAATTAATTATGGGTTACCTGAACATTGATATAACATCTTAGAGCATAGTCCTCTTATAGAGTATTCTATATAGAGTATTCTAATAAGAATGTATGTTAATGGTAATATTTTAATACATGTATATAGTTAATATTATAAGCTTATTTTCTATGTCTTTAATCTTCTTTGTATTATTTTACTATTTTAATCTATATCTAAATTGTTGTGTTTATGTTAATTGTAATGTAGGTAGCTAGTGGTTACAACTTCAAATATATATAAATGTGAAGATGGACCCAGGAAGGACAAGTTACTGTTAGGGAAGAGATACAGTTAACAGGCTACATTTAACTTATGCCAACTCTTGAAATTATACCTCTTTAGTTGTGCATAATTCTGTGTACCTATAATATAGATTATCTGTACAATACTAATTGGGGATCACTTTGATTATTTAATACATTGTTTATTTTTAATGCTTTCTTGTTATAATGTCTCTGTGGTCCCCCTTTATGGTATTCAATACACAATTAATATTGAAGTCACTAATTCTGACGAGTATCTACAAGTACAATAATATCTTATTTTTCATGTCTTCTTAATCCATAATAAAATGTGCATTTAAACATACATTATGCAAGAGCTAAATCTGACTATAACAGGTCTTTCTGTAGGCCTGAAATGTTATCTAAATTATTAATTAGATATTAATTAACTTATCCATACCATAATCAACCATGCCATTGTTAGCCTGCGATATTTAGTGGATTTGAATACATTTTGTGATGAATAATTTAACGTAAAAATGGATAATCGAGACTTGGTTTATTACCGTATGTTACCAACGTTAATAATGACGTTCGAGGCTTGCCTAAAATTGAATCTCTAATATTTCGGTTCAGAGTGAAGCAATTTAACTGAAATTTTCAGCATATTTTGTTTCCATTATCTATTTTTAAACTATTATAGTGAGAACTGTCAGCTAAACTTACCTTATGCCCCTTTAAGTAAACAAAACCAACATATCAACAATAGATTAATTTCCTGGCTTGGATTCAATCGGATCAAAAAGAGGCCAATCAAAAGATTTTACCCAACAATGTGCCATTGGCTTGTTATAGGATGACAAAAAGTTGAGAAATTTTCATTTAAATAATATAAATAATGATAGTGCACTCTTAACACGCTAAACTCCATACACTAAGTATATGCTCATAGCGCTACGAAAAGTCTAATGACATTATGGTTTAAATAATATAAATAATGATAGTGCACTCTTAACACGCTAAACTCCATACACTAAGTATATGCTCATAGCGCTACGAAAAGTCTAATGACATTATGGTTTATGTGCTATGTCTCATAGTATTCTTTAAACAGGTGTGTTTTTAATAAACTCTTGAATTGCAGTAAGGTCAGTGCATATTTAACTTCTGATGGCAGTTTATTCCAAAATGTTGCTGAGTTATACTGGAAAGATCGCTGTCCAAATAATTTTAATTTGACTTTTGGGGCACAAACTAAGTTTTAGTTAGCCGATATATTTGTAAATATTGAAAAGGACTGATCCATTTTTGGACAGGTATTCCTTACAGATTCAACTACCACAATGTTATAATTAACAAGAGGACAATAATATGGTGGTTAAAGCTGTTAGCGAACTATGTTTTGTTGCCTAGAAAACTATTATGATGATACAGGATTATTAGCAAGAAGAGTTTACTATGTATTTATATATAATAGTATACATTGTGTTATTAATATGATATGTTAAACTTTGTTTACTGGTCATCAGGAAATCTATTTATAGTTCAAAAGGATATAGTGTGTGCCAGGAAGGGATTATATTAAAGAGGGGGTGGATGACGGAATAGTTGCCGTGTGCACGTTGAATCATAAGGTTTGTCATTGAGTCAACTGGCGTGGTTTCGATTCTCCGGATGTACATGACAAGGAGTAGGGTCGCATGTCCAACCATGTGGGTTTTCTCTGGTTCCTATGCGCAAGGGAATTATTGAAATAAAATTGTACCATGTGTAAGTCTCTCTCTCTCTCTCTCTCTCTCTCTCTCTCCCATTACATTAAGTATCAGTGAGCATTACCTACAATCTAATGCAATAAAGGGCAGACACAATTGCAGAACACATCTGGGTTTGTGGTGGAATACTGTTTTAAAAGTGTATAGGTTTCTAACATTTCAAATGAAATCACTTGACAAAGAACGTCTAGTTGTTTGGATGGAACAAAAAACCTGAGATCCTGTGTACAATGTAAAGTGCATGTAAAAGAACCGTTGACAGTTGGAATTCGATGTAAAGTACACGGAAATGCCACTATCTGAGCAGAATATCCCTCATAGAACACTGCCTGGCGTATGCAGGTCTTAATTAGTCTAGTTGGTGTAGAGAGAGATAAATGGGATTTAACGTCCACTTGACACAGACTAGGTCATTTCAGGACTAACATATATGGTTTAATTTTATTTCAATAATTCGCTTGCACGTAGGGGTCTTTACCAGTGGGAGGAAACTGGAGGACGCAGAGAAAACCCAGGAGGTTGGACAGGCAACCCTACTCCTTGTCACGTACAACCGGGGATTCAAAACCATGTCATTTGACTCAATGACAGGCCTCATGATACAGCGCGCACGAACTAACCCATCGGCCATCCAACCCCCCAGTTGGTGTAGAAAGAAGGACGTCAAACCAAATCTCATTTCATTTCAGATGAAATCTTGTCCAATAGCAGATAATATGTATTTTTCACTCTCTCCTTCACACTGACTATTTGGTGATCAACATCAATCAATAAAAATTAAAACTTATTAACATTTGTGAATCATAGAGTAAATATATCAAAACCAAATTTATAAAAGGGATTTTGGTCACCAAGATTACATAGTTTTATTATCACTCAGTAGATAAATTGATAATGCTAACCAGGAAGTCGGAAATTTTAGAGTGAGGATTTAAGATTTTAATCCCAAGGAAGCAATTTATATGAAGATGTATAACCTAGATTATATGAAAAGTTTTTTTAAATAACATCCTCGCTTGTTAATGAAATTTTTTATAGCTTTATCGGTTAATGTACATATTCAAACTGTGTCACGACGAAAGCCTTTGTTAACCAGTGTACAATATGACTGACCTTTACGGTCATGCCCAGTAAGTCCTACATGTGATGTCACATCATATGGCGTCGATAACCTGTGCGTTGTTTACATCAAATGTAGTAATACAAGTAGTCCGGGCAGAATTGGCACCTTTTATTCCACACTAAATGGGGGGTTGGGTGGCTGAATGGTTAGCACGTGCGCGCTGTACCATAAAGTCTGTCATTGAGTCAACTGGCGTGGTTTCAAATCCCCGGTTGTACATGGCAAGGACTAGGGTCGCCTGTCCAACCTTGTGGGTTTTCTCCGGGACCTCCGGTTTCCTCCCACTGCTAAAGACCCCTACGCGCAAGCGAATTATTGAAATAAAATTAAACCATGTGTTAGTCCCGAAATGACCTAGTTTTTTTTCGAGTGGATGTTAAACTCCATTTCTCTCTCTCTCTCCACACTAAATGGGAAATATTTTTTATCCAGATATTGAACTATG